AACCAGTCGCGGACGTCTTGTGGGAGGGGTGTAGTGACCGAAGGAGCTGGTAGCAAACAATCAATTGACAGTGGAACGGAAATTGAACATGGGCTTTGGCCAATATGTTTTATTCGTTTCAGATGGTTCAATGGGGGAACACATCATCCTTTGGCAAGAGTCCAAGAGTGTGGATGTGGGGATTATTGTTTATTTGGTTGTTGCTCATTCGTCTTCTTTGCCACAATCAAAACAGCTCAGCAGTATGGTATCCTCTGTGGTTTAGGGGGCGAAGAGATTCAGAAAAACAACGAGCATGGCAAATTTGGCCTTGATGATCGCCCCCGTTTTTGACGAACCCTACTGGCCAAGTATTAGGAGCCCTCTTTCTTCCTGCCGGATGAGTCTCTCAGCGTTGCGCGTCGTGGAGCGTCGTCGTCGCGCCAGGTGCGAGGAGTTTGCGAACTGAATCCTGCCGGAGGGACCCCATGTGGGGAAGCCCACGACGAGCAGCGCCAGCAGCTTGCGCGCTGGCTTGCAGCGTGCGGCATAAGTGCCATGGGAGAGTTGATGGGAGGAAAGCATTTGGACGACATGTGATTCTGAACGTAACAAATAAGGGAAAGAAAACGTCTAGAAGGTCTAAAGAGAAACAAAGGTCAGAAAAAAGGACTACGGGGCTCTCCATCGCTGCTTGGCTCGGAATTCCCAGGCATCGCCTGCCCACGGCAGTACTTTTGCAGCGTGCCGACGGAGAGCCTGGCGAGTTTGTCGATGGTGGTCGAGTAATTGGCATGGTTGTCAAGAATCGATGACTAAGCGACGAGTCGACAGTGAATAGGTGTACCACAGTGGTACTACCACTAGGAGAAACAACTCAAGAAAGCTTCTGTTTTAAACACCGAGTTGGGAAGACCAGCTTTTACCAAGTTGCAACGTGGATGCTTTCCGAAATACAATGCTAGTCCTCTCAAGCCACCCTGCACCCATGCCTGTGCCATGCCTAAACCTTGCTTCGCCGCCAGATCCGGTCCAAGTCTCCGCAAAACCTGGCAGTCATGGGTCTGCGGCCGCCTCGGACACTGAGCTGAGGCAAAGGCCGGGCCCACATCCAATGAAGGGAGGTGACGAAGACGTTTCAAAGAGTCTTCAAGAGCCACCCATCAGTTCCAATAGCCACGTGAAGAGTTACTATATAGTAGCTTCTTGTTCCTAGTAGTATGGCCAGGAGCGATGCCCTTTGTTACTAGTAGCTTCTTGTTCCGTGTCTTCAGAGTTCGCTTCCTTTTTCGCAAAACCGAGGAAGGAAGTGGGTTGGCTGCTTAACATGACTTTCGATCGGCCGGGTGCCTCAGACGAGTCATGAGTCACCACGGACCCATCGGAGACGAGTAGCGGCCTCCAACCTAATAGCAAACAATTTGCTACTAGTAACTAGTAGCTTCTTGCTCCTAGTAGTAAGGCCAGGAGCCCCTAGTAGCGTCCTTGCTCCTAGTAGCGATGCCCTTGCTACTAGTAGCAAGAGTAGGTTCTTGCTACTAGTAGCTTCTTGTTACCAGTGGCGATGCGCTTGTGACTAGTAGCGATGCACTTGTTAGTATATTAGACCTTTCTTCTTTTTCTTATTCCTTTGTTTCTACTAGCGGTGGCCTCCAACCTAAGAGCGATGGCCTCCAACCTACTAGGAAAGCGGGAACAGTCTTGATATGTCATGACGTATGTCTTTGTCTCTTGGAAATGAACATATGAGCCAACTGAAAAGCATCTCAAAGATACTGGACACATTAGGAAACTGGTTTGGAGAGGCCTTCGTTTTGTTTCTAGTTCTGTGTCTTCGCCCCAGCCCCCACCTCAGCCCAACGTGTCAAGCCGAGCTCAGGGAGATGGAGTTTATGCACATAGGCGCGGCCGAGCTCAGGGAGATGGCATAAGGAACCCGATAGAAATGGCCTCCAACCTACTGGCGATGGCCTCCACCCTAGGAGCGATGGCCTCCAACCTAGTAGCAAAGAATTCTTGCTCTCTTTTTTTGCTTTGTTCCTCGCGCAAAAGTTGGTAAGTTTGTCAGTCTAATTCCGTTCGAAGAGGTTTGGTTTACAGAGCCTTGTGAGACACACCGTGACTTCTGCCAGGCATTGGCTCGGGCGTGCTGATGCAGCGCCGGCCTTAGGGTGTTGGAAGTGGTTTTCCCAGAATGCAAGCGATGCTCCTAGTAGCGATGCCCTTTGCTCCTAGTAGCTTCTTCTTACTAGTAGCGAGGCCAGGAGCCCCTAGTAACGTCCGATCGCTCCTAGTAGCTTCCCAGAATGCAAGCCTTGGGATAGCGCATTGATCCTATGGGCCCTATGAGTTGGGCTTGCAAGTGTCCAACTCGAAAACATGTACCCAAGGACGCTGGGTTTTGATGCTCGAAACCAAAACCTGCGAAAAAAGCACGTTGCTATTTGGCACCACCAGCGATAAGTTTTTGGATGACGACGACGACCATGACTATGACTAAATTGACTAAATCTATTAAAATCAGCAAATTGATGACTCGCATCACAGCGGACCCTGGGCTGTCAGAAAAAAGCCCAGGTGTCGCGCCACTCGCCCGCAGGGGTGCTTAGCCCTTTGCTGTTAGATCTATCTGTCGCACTGAGGCCACGTACTAGAGTCTTGCACTTGGTAAGTGGTAGTGAGGTAGTAAAGAAGTTTTTTTGTGACCCATTTTCACATGGAATGGGAACATGGTGAGAAGATTCAATCCGATTCCATGTAAACAAGAGTAAAGTACCCCGCAATCCAGCTTGGGAGTGGTTCCATCAGGAAAATCACTGTGCCATCCCAGCTGTTCTTGAGAGCAGCTTTCTTGATGTGACTATAGTTCAAAAACCAACCTTTTTGTTGAGTCCACCATAAACATGGTTCTCCTTCCAAAGGGGGGGACTGTGCCCCAGAGCTTGTGGTGTCTCAACCAGCGTTTGGACTCCATGCTAGAATGGGTCGCGTTTTGGTGGTTTTCAGTGTCAAAGAAGCAGCGTTTTTTCTGAGGGGTGACTGGCCTCCAACCTTTGAGTTGCCCTACAACAAGTTGGCTTGGCGCCTCAGGGGACTTGGTCCAAAAAGAAGTGCCCGCACAGTAGACTAAAGCCACTTGGTCCCAGAAAACTCCTTTTGAAACATAGATTCTGGCCCTGCCAGTGATGGAACAGACCCCCCCCCAAAAGTCTCAATCAACGTTCCACCCCAGGGGGGCTCTGAAAAACTGAGATCCGGCTCTGTGCCGACCGAGGAGATTGATGGGAACGTCTTGCGCATCAACGTCTTCGGTTTGCCCAACGAGGAGCAGCGCGACTGCGACCTGGTGCCTCGGCCGGCCGGAATTCGGAAGACGGGGGTGGTAAAGGTGCTGTGTCTCAAAGGGTCTGAGACTTGGCCAATGACATCAAGTAGAATGGGTAATGAACACAAGCTAATGTTTCTAGCTAATGGCCCAATGGCCACAAGGTGGGCACTTGTGAAGCTAGGACGCAAGAGGAAAAAGGATGAAACCTGTTTGGGTTTGGAGAGTCTGGCAGTCGGCCCAGGTCATCTCCGACAGTGCGGTGGGCCTTGGCGTGTTTTTGGGGATCTGGGGTCTTTGGGTTTAGAATAGGGGAGCGGAGGGGGTCCAGGCGTGGATTTTAAGGATTTGATTCGGTTCGACTGGTGATATCAGTGAAGGACTTGTTTGGGCCATGGTCAACTGGCTGGAGAACATGAGACCTGTCGCTCAATGAGCCCCCAGCAACAGAATGCTTCACAGCCAGTGAACTCTAGACTCCAGCATGACAAGCGTACTCCAACATAGAAGATGCGTACTCCAACAGAATGACAAGGACCACGACATCCTCAACAATCCCCGATCTGTGACTGAACCAGTAGTAGCGTCCTTGCTCATAGCGATGGCCTCCACCTAGTAGCGTCCTTGTTACTAGTAGTAAGGCCAGGAGCCCCTAGTAGCGTCCTTGTTACTAGTAGTAAGAATGCTCCTGGTAGCGATGCCAGAAGCCCCTATTAGCTTCTTGCTCCTAGTAGCGTCCTTCTGAACGACGCCACGATGCTGCCAGGTCCGTGACTCCTCCTCACTCTTGCCGTACAATGGAATGATGGCCCGCTCGCTGGGCGGTTGGTCGGTTGGTCGGAGACACGGAGGTGGCTGTGATTGAAGCAACTCAAAGGCCGCAGGCTGCAAGGAGGGCTGCGAAGGCTGTTGGATTTGTTGGGTGTTTGTTTTTCCCATTTCTTCATTTCTCCAGTAATGATGTCATATGAGTCATATGTGATATGACTTCCCAGTTCTCAGACATCAGACTCGGCCAAGTTCCACAGCCCACCGAGTAGTACGGCCCTATTCACTGCCTCCTCCCTGTTGGCGCAGGACAACGTGGTCTACGTGACATTGCCGGATGGCGTTCCACCGGAGGTGTGCGGTGGTTCCGACATGTGTGAACGGCTTGGGAAAAAGGGATGACTTCATCTGGGTGGAAGCAGGTTTGCCTCAAAAAGGCATACCAAAAACCTAAGGCCAGGCGTGCCACACCCGAAGGCCTTGCAAGGGATTCTGCAACAAACCCACCTTCAGCTGCTCAGGCATGTATGGATGCCGCTGTGTCTTGGCTTGGAGGGGCCCCTTGAGCGACCACACGGTCGCGGATCGCACTGCGTGAGCGATGGAAAGATAAGGTGCTGCTGTGCGCCTTGCTTGGACCTTGTTAGATCTCGGATCGTCAGATCCTTCCTTTTTGATTGAGCCCAATAGTCGCTACCAGTGCACACTCCGTGCATTGGTAGCGGAGCAGCTGTTGCTGACTCCAGGGATCGCTACTACTTGTTTGTGGACCGCCTCGGCACGTTCGGCGACCCTTTGCCCCTGACTGGTGGCGGACCTTGCTAGCACTACCTCTAAGAGGACTTCCTTGTGACTGGCACTACTTTTTGCACTTCATTTCTCCTTGTGGACCCCTTTGTTTTGTATTTTCTCCACCTCTGTCTCAACAATGGCAGAGAAAGAAGGTCACATCCCAGCTTGGGATGGCCGTGCACAAACATGGCGACGATACACCAAAGAAGTCGTCTGGTATGTGAGATCGACTCCAACTCACAAGAGACAGTACTGTGCCACTCGACTTCTCTCTCGGCTTACAGGGCCGGCACGGCTACTTGCAATGTCATGGGTTGATCTCAATCTCGATCATCCAGATGGTGTACGTGAACTTCTCCAGCGACTTGCCGCTTCGCCCTTGGTGCGGCAGAGCCTGCCAAATGCGGCAGCCATTTGCCAGCAATACTTTCAGTTCCATCGGAAGCCCTCAGAATCCATCCAGTCATTCCTTGTGCGAGAAGCTTTGGGCTACACTGAATTCGTGGAGGCCTTAGTCCGCCTCTATGAGGACAAACATGGTGTCCGTCAGGAAGACAAGGACTATGGTCTGCCCAAGGCCGATGAGTTGGAAGAGTGGAATGAATGGGAAGAAGGAAATACCGATTCTCCTCATAGTTCTCGACGCCGTTCTGCTCGAGCTGCACATGCTTCAGAATATGGCGACGCTCCCTGGCCTGATGAAGAAGACCCCTTGCAGCCGGAAAGCGGCTCACCTTGGCATGCTTCCACTGTGCCCTCACGTCAGTCCGTTGGAGTTCAACCGAGCACCAGTGGACCTCCGGAATTATCCTGGACCGACAGTTTTGTCCTGGGCGTTCTTCGTGGGTTCCGACTGCTGCAGTCCTCAGGCCTGACGCCGGAGGATAAGCGAGATATCATCAGCACCACTCGTGGCAGTCTTGAGTTCGATGTGGTGGCAAGAGCTCTCCAGACTCTATGGGATGAACAATTCCTGGGCCGGCAGAATAACACCTACCAGAACCACATGCTTGAGGAGCACGACGCTCTTGTGGCTGAGAATGGTGACTGGTCCTGGGCACTACATGGTGACTCATGGGAGTCTGGTGGCTGGGAGGATTGGTCTGATCCTCATTCGCAGTACTATGCTGCGGACTGGACTGACTATGATTGGGAGGACGCTCATGTACAAGAAGCTTCTGCTGAGGACACTGAGGCCTTGAAGGAGGCTCAACAGGCTGAAAAGGTTGCTGAATCCTTGGCCGCAGAAGCTCAGAGAACTTGGAGCGAGGCCCAGAGGGCCACAGCTGCCTTGCGTCGAGATCGAGGGTTTGGACACGTTGTTGGTGCCCCTGGTAAAGGTGGAAAAGGACCCTGTTTCATTTGTGGTGGACCTCACTACTCCAAGGTATGCCCCGACAGACGTCATCCTTCCTACTCTAAGGGCTATAAGGGGAAGAATAGCTTCTACCAGTATGACTACAACCCTGAAGAGCTCTATTTTGTTGGGAAGGGCAAGGGCAAACAGAAGGGAAAGCACTCCACCTTCTTCGCCTCCAAGGGGAAGAAGGGAAAGGGGAAGTCATCTTCCTCGATGATGACACGGCCGCCTGTCAATGCCTATGCGGCCGATGAAGTTTTCATGGGCGCCTTAGAGATCGCTGAGGCTCACCGGGCGGAAACCGCCACGCCCCTAGAGGCCATGGGAGCCCACCAAGGTTTGCTTGATTGCGGTGCGACAGCTTCGGCTGGCCCCCAAGTTGCTGTCGAGAGCCTCATGAAGGCCATTCTGTCGAAAGACCACCAAGCTCAGATCGAGATCCAAAAGGATGAGAGACCATACTTTCGTTTCGGAAACGGTCGTTGGGGGCAAGCACTTTATCGTGTACATGTTTGTTCAAGGGCATCCGGTGAACCTCGCATCTTCCAACTATATGCGCTACCAAACCCTCCTGATCTTCATGATCCCAACTTTGATAGGTCTACGTTGGTTCCTATTTTGGTAGGGATGAGTCATTTGGCTGGGTCGTGTTCGTCGATGGCGGTGGACTTTCGAACTGGGATGGCCATGGACACCTTCAAGAATGAACCTGAAGCCTATAGACTTCCAAGCAACCGCAAGGGCCACTATATCCTGGATATTGTCAACTACCTCACTGGGGGACGTGAGATTCTTGAAGGTCATGCAGCCATCCGAGTGACGTCGAGCCGAACTTCGAGTCAAGCGGATCTGCACGTGTTAGAGTTTCATCCTCTTGAGCATTATGATGGTTTTGTCCAACAGCCTGTAGAGATTTCAGAAGTTGATTTGCAGCATTCTCTTCATTGTCTTCAACGTTTGCATGAGCACAGTCGTCAACTCTCCAATGCTTCAGCTGTTTTTCAGACCTCAATGCGATCATCCGTGATCCTTGAACCCAATTCGCCTCCTGCTGGCAATCATGTCGGGAAAGGGCACTCCCTCCGATCTCGTGGTGGTGGCCATCAAGGCATCGACACCCAAGAAGAAGGAGACAGCTCCCCTCGACCACGACCGCTCCTTCAAGATGGACACAAGGGATCCTCGTGCCAGCAGCACTCAGTGGCCGTGCTTCGCCAAACATGTTCCGGCCACCATGAAGTACAACCCTCACGGAGCATGGATCAACTGCGCAGTCTGCCATGTCCGCCTGGAGTACATCCCTCGTGTGGGCTCTCCGGGACAACACACCAAGCTCGACAATCCGGCCATGGTCAAGCGCGTGCTCAAGGAGCTCTACGACCTGATGGACGGAGAATCACCGACAGAGGACATCTGTCGTGCGATGCAAGCCAAGATCGACGCGGAGGAGGCCTTGCTCAAGCTGGTGGCCGATGCCAAGAAGTCACCACCGAAGACACCTCCGTCGACGGGCTACAAGACACCAGTGCAGGACCTGACCCTCTCCATGAGTCAGCGACCAAGCTCCCCGGCTCCCTCCTGGAACATGGTTCATGCGGTGACGGGCACTCAGTCACCGAGTTCCGAGGATTCGGGACCTCTCACCGGAGCCGACATGGAGAAGCTGCTGACCGAGGAAGAGAAGATTCGTCTTGCCGCCCTTCTACGAGATCGAAAGGCCGACGCAATGTCAAGTGGGGATCTCATGAATCCCAACCTGTTCGAAGCAGCGTGAGAGAAGAGAAGACCGCTCCGTTGACCCATCACCTCGGAGCAAAGGTCATGATGATGGTTATGACCTTGACCTCAACTATGACAGCTGCTGCTATGGATCTATGTGTTGATGGTCGCGATGGTCTTTGGGAAGTTGCTTGTGCTCCTCACAGCTGGCTCTCCGAAGCTTCTATGCAGCATGGCATCCCTTCTCGCCGCATCAATTTGGCAGAAGGCTACGACCTGTACCAAGAGGAGACATGGCATCTTTTGTCTCAACTTCATCGCAAGCACCGTCCTCGCAAGATCTGGCTCTCTTTACCATGCACCAAGTTCTGCAAATGGACCTTCCTCAACTACTCCACGCCAGAACGAAAACTACTTCTTCGTTCCCATCAAAGGCGTGAACGAAAGATGCTCTGGAACATGAACCAGTTCCTCAAGAAGGCCATGGATGCAGACCCATCAATGCATGTGTATTTTGAATGGACCCATCCTTGTCAGGGTTGGAGTGAAGCACCTATGATCGACCTCGAGCGCTATTTCCATGAGAATGACCTCTTCTGGCAAGGTTGCCGTGTAGACGGGTGTGTCTATGGTATGCGCAACCTGAAGGACACTGACTTCATTAAGAAGAGTTGGAAGATCATGACCACCGATGAGTACTTCTGGAAGATCTATCGGGCAAAGACTTGTGGTGGTGGTCACAGTCACAGTTGGATCCAAGGAGCAGAGACTGCCCGATCTGCCTATTATCCTTGGAAGCTATGTCAAGCTATTGCTCGCACTTGGCGGCAGCAATTCCTCTCCGACAAGAATGTCAACTACCTCTTCCGAAACTATGACAAGCCTACAACGGTGCAGGACCTCTTGGCTGCTGAAGAAGAGGCACTACAGCCTGAACTACCTCAAGAAGATGATCTTCTTCCACGAGTACCAGACTATGCTGATGGCATCATTCCTTCCAATGCAGAACGTCAACAATGGCAAGCTAAGGTAGCGCGATTCCACAAGGCCGCTGGACATCCCACGAATGCCAACCTGGCCCGAATTGTGAAGGAAGCCAATCAACCACAGTGGAAGATCGACCTGGTCAAGAATTTTTCCTGTCCAGCATGTGAAGCACTACGACCTGGTGGTCAGAGCTCTAAGATGGTTCCTCCAGCCTCTACTCATGCTCTTCCAAAGGCGTGGCAAGTGGTTGGAATGGATACTTCCGAATGGCAGGTGCCCAACCAGAAGGTCAAGCTCAAATTCCTTCTGATGGTCAACTTGGCGACCAAACTTCGGGTGGTGCATGTGATAAAGGAGTACTCCAGCCTCACCATGGATGGAGAGAGCGCCGAGGATGTGATCCACGGCCTGACTGAAAAGTGGCTTGCACACTTCCCAAAACCTGAGTTGATCGTGTGCGACAATGGCATGGGCTTCACCGCGGACAAGTTCAACAAGTTCATGCAGGACCTCAACATCTACATGCACTTTCCTCCTGAGAAGGAGCCTTGGCTTGGCACATGGCATTGTTGAAGCTGCCATCCAAGACGTCAAGCACACCGCGAGTGCCATCCAGCTAGATGATTCTACTTTGAGCCCTCGTATGACCTTGGCGCTGGCGACTGCTGCCTTGAACAATACCGAGTACACTGCTGGCTACACCGCCAACCAATGGGCATTTGGAAAGATGTTCAACATGTCCGATGAGGACACTCGAACCTTTCAGAATGCAGACCCTTCTCACGAGTTCGCCAAGCTGATTCAACAACGACAAGCTGCTGAAGAAGTGGCCACTCGCACTCGAGCCAAGAGAGTGCTCTCCAAATTGAGCAACACCATCGTCCGTCAACCTCTCAGAAACTTCAACCCCATGGACATGGTCATGGTTTGGCGACGGCTCCAACCCACCTTGATTCACAAGGGTGTTCGTGGAGGTCTCAAGAAGGCTGCCAAGCCTCGATGGATTGGACCTGGAAGAGTTGTTTTTCAAGAGCTACTTCCTCATCAAGAAGAAGGAGATCACCGACGGCATATCTTGTGGGTTCTGGTGGGCAGCAAGATGCTTCGTTGCTCAGTGCACTCTGTTCGACCTGTCACTGAGACTGAGCGCTTCACCTACGAGATCACCACCGACGAGGACCCTTCTCAGTGGAAGTCTCTCGCAGACATCCTGCCAAAGCGAGAGTATGTGGACATTGTGGATGAAGTCCCCAATGAAGAAGACCGAGAACTACCAGATCTTCCCGACGAGCCCGACAACACCACCTATGTGCCTATCCCAAGGGCCAAGCATAAGCAGACCTTTGGTCCTGATGAGTATGTCAAGGTGCACCGCTCTTCGCCCCTTGGCTTGGATTCCTCCTCCTCTGCGAATCCAAAGGTGAAGCATTGGATTCCGCCGCCACCGGCACCTGACCTTGAGTACACTCCATCTGTTGCTCCCGAACCAGGTGAACATGAAGATGATCTACCAGAAGCTGAAGTTGGTGCTGACACCACTGAGGTCAGCGTGAGAGAGAAGCGTGAAGTCAATGACTATGACCGGGAAGTTGAACGACCTCCCAAGAAATCCAAAGATGAAGAGTCTCACAAGAAAGCTCGCTCCAGCTATGACTTGGGCTGGATAGATCTTTTGCGGGCCGATGTTGACAATGAGGTGCAGGACTTTGAGCTCTACCAGGCTTTCCAAGAGACTGAAGAGTTCCTTTGCTTTGAGCTGGACATCTCATTTGACTCCAACAGACAACGCAAACAGTTCCTGCACAACCCTGTCAGCTACCTGGTTAAGAAGCTCAACTCCTCTGAGGTGAAGTTGGAACGCCTTTCAGCTGCAGATCGTGAACTATTTCATCGAGCCAAGCTGAAGGAGGTGAATTCGTTCCTGAAGAATGCCGCTGTCAGGGCATGCTTGAATGATCAGGAGACGCGTGAGGCCTACACCAGCGGCAGAATCTTGAAAGCTCGATGGGTTCTGACTTGGAAACCCATTCCTCCAGATGAACTTCAAGAGGCCAAGCGTGAACGAGCTCTTCATCCAGACACCACCGTGCTGAATGAGTCAGCCACAGCTAAGGCCAAAGCACGCATTGTACTACTTGGATATCAGCATCCATCTCTCCTTGATCGTGGCTTCAAAACTGCTGCTCCTGTTCAGAGTTTGGTTGGACGCCACCTGCTGTATGTCTTGAGCGTCTGGCACCAATGGGAACTACAAGGACTGGACCTTGCCACGGCTTTCCTTCAGACTCAGCCCACGGAGTCGGATGCAAAGATATGGACATCAGGTGTTGAAGAGTTGAAGACAGCACTCAATGTCCCCCAGGACACTCTGTTGCGCATCCTGCGCAATGTGTACGGCTCCACTACAGCTCCTCGAGGGCTTTGGCTCTCTCTACACAACAAGCTTACTGAGCTTAGAGCTGTTGCCGCTGTTGGCGAGCGTTGTCTATGGCTGTGGTCCAGCAAGACCGAGCTGGACTCCACTGGTCAATTTCCTCGTCTTCTCGGAGCAATGGGAGGACACGTTGACGACTTCCACCGTGTTGGTGATGTGAACAGCTCTGAGTGGCAGGCCATCTGCCAACGCATCGATGCTGCATACCAGTGGGGCAGTGTCAAGCGTGGATGCTACCGCCACGCAGGCACGGACATCACTTCTGTCCGGAAGCCTGATGGTCTTGTCGAGATCGAGGTGGACCAAGACTCCTACATCGAGACCCTTCAATTTGCAATGGTTGGCCATACAAACCCAACCGCAACTCTGCGCTCGATGCAACCTCCTGCTGAGCGATTTGGTGACCAATGGTCAGTTGGAGCACGCCAGGGAGATTCAGAACATGATCACTGAGATTCGCCTGGAATCTTACAAGCTTCGCTTCTTCAAACCCAAAGATGCTGAGCATTGGAGTGACCTGACCTTCACCACAATGGCCGACCAGTCGCACAACAACAGACCAGGTGGAAACTCCACCGGAGGTATGATCAGCCTGATCTCAGGACCCTCCTGTCGCTCCGGCCATGTCACTGAGTTCATGTTGGTGAACTGGCGCTGCTGGAAACTCAAACGTAAGGCGATTGCGTCAAACGACGCAGAAATACAGGCAGTGCTAGAATCCGAAGACTCCAACTTTCGGATGAGGCTCCTATGGACAGAGATCCACGGAGCAGGCCACCAAAGGCCAAAAGAGCGCCACGACCTGGTGGAGGAGACGGAGAAGCAGGCCCGTCTTGTGAAAGGCATACTCTGCACCGACAGCCGTGGAGGCTACGACGCTGTGGAGATGAACGAATCTCCACTCCTTGGATTATCCAATATGAGGGCAGCGCTTCAGGCCTTTCAGTTGCGTGATAATCTGAGGAGAGTTGGGGCTGAACTTCGTTGGCTAGCTTCCGATTTCGACCTGGCCGACAGCCTCACAAAGCGCAAGGCTTCCTGTCGAGAAGGATTGGTCAAATTCCTTCAGACCAATCGCTGGAGCATCGCCTTCGATCCACAGTTCGTTGCAGCCAAAAGAAACAAAAAGACAGGCCACACCGCCGTCTCCAAAGTGGACAAAGCCATGGCATGGAATGAGGGTCATCATTTTGAGCCCTTTGACCTTTTTTGTAGTGACTCCTCCGAGCTGCACTATCTTCACACCTTCGCAGCTGATTTTCTCTTTTGGGGTGGTGCAACAAACCCACCTTCAGCTGCTCAGGCATGTATGGATGCCGCTGTGTCTTGGCTTGGAGGGGCCCCTTGAGCGACCACACGGTCGCGGATCGCACTGCGTGAGCGATGGAAAGATAAGGTGCTGCTGTGCGCCTTGCTTGGACCTTGTTAGATCTCGGATCGTCAGATCCTTCCTTTTTGATTGAGCCCAATAGTCGCTACCAGTGCACACTCCGTGCAGATTCTCCATTGAAGTCCGGTCCACAGGTGAACTCCTTCATCCCGGGGAACAGTGTCTGGAGCTCAGAGGATGGAAAGGCTCACAGTCTCGGTCAAACCGAAAGAAAGACAAAGAGGCAGGAGGCACATGCAGCAAGAACCCAGACACTTTGGAAAGGGGGCAGTCAACCTCCAAAGCTAATGTAAGATCATTGCAATTTTTGCACCCTTCGTTCATTGGTATTAGCAGCAAGAATGAATGCTGACAAGATCGATGGCCAAATATCCCAAGCTTGCGATAAGACTCACAAGACCTACATGCTTGCTTACTTGCTGAACATCCGAAACCATCAATGTTGATTATACCTCACCTGAACGCCGAGACTGCCGTATGTCCTGCCATATGTACAGTCAATGCAGAGATTTGTCTTGGCGCTTTGTGAGGCGACTGGCGTACCCATGGTGGCTTGGAAAGCCGTTGGTTCAGCTTTGAGCTTTTCAGGGTTGGGATCAGCGATACAATCAAAAAGTCAGAGGCCCAACATAGACCCATATGGACCCCTGAAGGAAGGTGATGTCACACAAATTCACGTCGTTCCAAGAGGGGTCACTTCGATTTGTAGTGGGTGACATGTTGGAGAGCAAGAAGGACGCTACTAGGGGCTCCTGGCATCGCTACGAACGGAGCGATCGGACGCTACTAGGGGCTCCTGGCCGTACTACTAGGAACAATGTTTGCCCCCAGTAGCGTCCGATCGCTCCTAGTAGCGATGCGAGGAGCCCCCAGTAGCGTCCGATCGCTCCTAGTAGCGATGCGAGGGATCGCTCCTAGTAGCGATGCCAGGAGCCCCTAGTAGCTTCTTGTTACGGCACCTGTTACTACTAGCGTGGCACTTGTTTCTACTAGCTTCTTGTTACTACAATAAACGAGAACAGATCCTGGTGAACAATTGCTTTCCGGAATCTGCGGCCGTCTACGAGCACTCATCCGATGTGTTAGGCTGTCAGGTTCCTCAACTGAAATGAAACCGGTCCCTCGCATGGAGAAAAACGCAAGAGGTCACGAGTCATTTAATGACCCCTCCCTTCCCATAGAGGTGGGAATCATCACCGATCAGGTAGTTTGCGTCAAAATGATATTCAGTCACGTTGGTCACTCTCGACCATATTCGGTTCACAAACTGCGGAAAGGAACCCTGTTCATCCCAGCGGAGCTCTGGCAAGAATCGTTCGACATGGTCCCAATACGAAGACCAGAAAACATCCCATGTCTTCTGCACTGGATCCACAGTTGGATCCGACCGGCATTTGTTCATGGCCGACAAATGGCTGCAGAATGCGCAGGAAGACCAATTGCCAAGTCATTTACCTTACACGTAACCACACACGCCTAAGTGAGCATCAGTAAAAACGCTCGGACTGAGCCTGGCCAGCCGAGGACCCCCTCGTCCGCTTCTTCTTCAACGAAGAGATCCGGAAAGGTCGGGATGCTCCACAGAAGTTACTAGAAAGCTTTCTTGTTACTAGTAGCGATGGCCTCCACCTAGTAGCTTCTGGTTATATAGTAGAAAGCTTTAACTAAGAAGCTTTAAGACATACTAAAAAGCTTCTTGAGATTGCTCGAAGGGAATGCTTGAGAGTTGCTGGGTGGGACTCATGTTGCCCTTTTTCCAATGTGCATGTCCCTCTGCCAAACAGATATCACATAGCTCGTGAACGATCGTTTATCGGGTGGATATGCGGTGAACGCATGTGCCACGTCTCAGGTGCAGGGTGCATGAAGAAAACACACAGGATGCTCCTGTGTAAGTGGATGCTCCAGAAATCCGAAATGCAACATGCATTGACAGGTCAATTTGTGAAGACCCAGCAACTGACATGTTTGTTGAACAGGGACATTTGCAGTACCCAACCGGAGAAAACAAAGAACTGCCTCGACTTCGTGGTATTTATGAAGGAAATTGAAGGAACAGCATTCGACGACCCAGCAATCTTGCTTGTACAAACAATTAAGTATTCCATGTAGTGTCACCGTGCTACTGGGTGATGTCTATTTCCCTGTGGGTACAAGCTGTAAATCTTCTTTTGGGAAAGATGCTTTATTTTCCTCCAGTTCCTTAAGCAAGTCCAAGTACTCCACACCACCCACTTCCCCAATGCGCATCATGCGCCGCACTGACTGATTGCGCAGTTGGCAATGGTATGATTACGGTCTACATCATGGGTGGGAACCAGACAAGCAGCTCGGTGAGACAGACGGCACTGAGTGGACCTTTGAGATGAGGGGAAGAAGCATATGGAAGCTGATGGAAGACATGTTTAATAGCGATGGCCTCCAACCTAGTAGCGATGGCCTCGTTTGAGATGAAAGGGAAGATCTTTTTCGGCAAACTGAATCACTTCAACCCCAAAGCTAAGTGGACCGCTGTTGGACGCTATCAGGGCTGCCAAGCCAGAGCTCTCAAAATGATTCAATATGTACTTGATTAATTGTTTTCAACTAAAGAGAGAAGTCATGACGAGCATAGATTCATCGATCGGACTTCCTTTCAAAAGCGTCCTTGTTCGTTTCTCTGGAGAGCTTTCAGGTGTTCTTTCTTCCTTCCTGTCTTGTTCCAGCAAAGCACTGGGAAACTGGGAACATCACACTTTGGATACAACGCTTTGGGCGTTTCATGGTTTTCACGTTGCCACCTCAACCATCACACAAACTCCAAAAGGATTCCACGGCGCCGCGCCTTCAGATCGGGAAGCAGACAAAAAGCTGGCCGATCTGAACCTTTGGAGTGCTGCCAGGGGAGCCCAGTGTGACTTTCTGCTCCAAGAGGAGCGTGTGACATCGCGTGACTTGGTGGACCGGATCGGACGCAAGGACGGTCCGGATGATACTGATGAAAAAGAAATGCCTATTAAACTTAATTCTACTAGTAAGGCACTTGTTCCTAGTAGCTTCTTGTTACTACTAGTAAGGCCCTTGCTCCTAGTAGCGATGCACTTGTTCCTAGTAGCATTGTTTCTATTGATTCATGGTGAGTTTCTCACACAAAAGAACTGATCTTTAAAGAGCTGAGTATTTGAACTTCCTGAGTTACTGCTAGCGTCCTCTCGTTCCTAGTATGGCCAGGAGCTACTAGCAGCGTCCTTGCTCCTAGTAGTGATGCCCTTTGTTACTAGTAGCGATGCCCTTGTTCCTCTCAGTAAAACACCCGGTAGTGCTTGGGACCTCACAGGACACGCTGCTCAGGCGGTGAGTGTCTCACAGGACACGCTCCTGGTGGACCTCACAGGGCTCCTAAGCACCAGCACGTCCGGGGGCCTCGCACTATCAAAACAAGGGCGAAAAGAGAAGGACGAACAAGGGCGCCGGTCATGTTGAGTTGACAAAGTGTAAAGTGTAAAGTACATGTTACTACTAGTAACAAGAAGCTACTAGGGGCTCCTGGCCTTGCTACTAGGAGCAAGGATGCTATTAGGGGCTCCTGGCATCGCTACTAGGAGCAAGGACGCTACTAGTAGCTCCTGGCATTACTACTAGTAACCCAGAAGAAAGATCCCCAAAACACGGTTGAAGAAGGTCTGCCATTCGTCGAACTTGGTTCAGTGGCCATGAGGAATGACTACCGTTGCGGCGTGAATACATGGAGCTTCAACAAGCTGCCGTCAGGCCACACTCGGAGCAGAGCAGCGCTGACAAGGAGTTTGTGCTGATCCGGCGGGACCTCTGAACTAAAAGACGGCCTTCTGGTGGTCGCGCCACATTCCTTTGTGCAAAACAAAGAGAGAGCGCATCAAGGCAACGCAGCGCATCAAGTTGATGTCAATATCCGCTTGCCTATCGATCATGTTTTCTCCCAGTTCCAATGCAAATACGGATTTGCACATCGACATCTTCGTCCTTCCCCACTGGCCCAAACGTTGATGGATTTGAGGAATGGAAGCGGCATTTTGTAGAGCTCAAGTCCAAGGACGATTCGGGCGATTCGAACACGAAAGATTGGGCGATTCGGCACAGGTGTACCACTTGATGGGGTGCTACAACCCGTGGAACATGCAGATATTTGGCCACAGATTGGTCACAGCAATTCTGAAGATTCAGATCTCGAGGCCAAGAAGATTCTTGGGGTCACACATCCGAGAACATGGAGTCTTGGGCATCACTGAGCATGTTGAACGTCTTTGCACGACACGCGCATCCCAGGGCGCCCGAAGAACCGTGCCGGGCCACATCATGAGACGCCTGGGCAACGTCTGTGCGTCAGCTCCGTTCGGTTTCGTCCGTCTTGCTCCGTTCGGTTTCGTTGTGCTTTTGGAGCCCCGAGTTGAGTTCTTTGCACGTTGCTTCTCTTTTTTCTGGTGGAGTCTTTGTGGATATCACAGGGTTCTTCTCAACTCAGACATTGTCCAACCAGAAGCAACTCCGAGATCGCCCGAGTTGCTGGAGAGAATGCACACGTTGACGCACATAGACATGAACAGCTCTATGCGGTGGCCGACAATTTCGAGCAAGATTTGAAAGAGGCCTCTGACAAGACAGGTGTGCAGATGGTGTGCACAGAAAGGTTTGAGAATCTTTGGGCAAAAGACCGGCAGATGCATCAGCAGATTGGCATGCCCTTGGTCGTAGCCTAGGTTGGTGACACGGTTCACTTGCTGCCAAAACAGAGCGCTTAACAATCCATGTGCCATATGCTGCTGTCGGTTGAAATCAGGTCGTAATCCAACTTCCCAAACACATTTACCTGACAATGAATTCACATGATGTTGAGTGAAGATCTCTACAAGAACATGTGCTACAAGTCTTCTCATTGCCCAGCCGCTCTGATATTCCCAGCTGCCAAAAATGAAAAAACGCTTGTTGCATGTTCATCCCATGAGGAATGCAACAAGCATCCATCCGCAGTTCCTAACATTGTTTGTTCCTAAGATTGCTGCTCAGTTATCCCACCGAGTTCTGAACATGAGTTTAATATGTTCATCCATGATGCAGCTTCTGTGGTCGTCCTCTCCGGTTTGAAGGCATCCCCTTGGTCCACAGTGGCCCTTCTGGGGATTGGTGGTCCTGGTTTGAGACGTTTGGCCTTTCAATGACCAGAGTGACATAGTAGCGTCCTTGCTCCTAGTAGCGTCCTTGCTCCTAGTAGTAAGGCCAGGAGCCCCTAGTAGCGTCCTCTTGCTCCTAGTAGTGGAGTGAACTGCTTGTTTCGGCCACAGCCATACCTTCCCCCTGCTAGCACTGCTGTGACACGAACGCTCCAACGCAATGGTTGAGCAACTTCTTGCCTTGCAAGAACACCTCTTCGGACAAGAATACTCCCCAAAGTCGCATCAAGAAGCTACGAACGAAACAAAGGGTATCGCTACGAACGGAACAAGAGGACGCTACGAACGGGGCGCTCCCCGGCATTACTACTAGGAGCAAGAGGACGATACGAACGTATCAAGAAGAAGGTTGCTCGGACCCAGCTGGCACCTAATCCTGGTGCCACTTGCTGCTTTGAGGTACTATTCGGTCAGAATCCCACCTGGGGCCCGGGGGCCCAGCTATTTCTCGAACAGTGTCTCCGGTACTAGCCTTATGGACTGGTTGAGCGTTGGAAGGTCTGTCACATGTTTTCTCAAATGTGCGTTTTCCCTGGAATGACGGGGTATGCATCATTCACAAGGTGTCTTTGACATCTTTCAATGTGTCGTCACAATGCGTTGTCAGAGGGTAACGCATCGTCAAAATAGGCGTGGTCACCATGTGTGGTCAGAACATGTGTCGCCAGCGTCATCCGGTTCGAGGCGAGACTAGTTTACCAAGCGGCTTTGTGTGCTTTTTGGCAGGCGTTCTAGTTTTTAAGTAAACGTTCTCGGTCCTAGGAAGACGGTGGTGACGCCCAGGACTTAAACGTGTTTAAGGAGAAGTTCATTCCGCTTGTTCACAATGATTTTGGAGATGCTCGAATACATGTGTTTCCTCAGCAGCCAGACTCTTTGAACTGAAAGTACCGTAGCACAGATGGCCCCAACCTTGCTTTGGCTTAAGGGGCATCACTCGTTGGAAGTTTCATGAAGTTGATTGTGAAAGCAACCGTTGAAAGGCAGCCAGCAAAGCTGTACACAGTGTGTTGCTGAGCCACTATCCGCTCTCATAGCAGCTGTGCAACCACACAATCATATTCAAAGCTTTTCCCGGTTCGCATGCTGTTTTAAAAGAATCAAGATTGAGCCTTGAGAATGCCTAGACGAGTGGTTGCTGCCTGACCTGGTCACCTTGCAAGTCGCACCCCTGCCCCCATTTGGTTTCTTTGTGGTGCAGAAAAAGGAACCCCGGAGCCATCAGGAGCCATCAGGAGTGAATGGATCCTTGCCTTGCCTTGCCTTCTGCCTTGCCTGCAGGTGGTGAGCGACTCGTCCAACAACGCATTTCAAGGCCGCCGTGGCCGCCGTGGCCGGGTTGCGGGTGCGGTTCTCGCTCGTGGCCCACAAGCAATGGAGTCATCGCTCGTTGCATGTTCTTGTTCCGTCCTTGGCAAAATGAAGAATCGAAGAAGGTGGGAGTTGATTTGGATTTCTCTTTCCTGAGACACCAAAGAGGCAAGCACCAGAAGGGTTCTCCGTTTTTACTAGCGATGGCCTCCAACCTACTGTCCAATAGATTTCCTATGAGGAATAAGAAGATGATGAACTCCTACGCTCCTTCGGCTTTCATGTTTGTTGAGCCGAGGGTAACTCAGCGGTAAGTCACCCATTATATATATATATTGTACGAATGATGAGTTAGTCACCTCAATACGTGTGAATACGTGTATTCCCTGCTAGATGTTGTGTTACATGTTTCCGAATTTCGATGTGTCCATCTGTGCCCTTGACAAAGGTTGCACGTCAAGGCTACTCGTACTTTGCAAAAGCCTTCGAGAGGCTGTCAGAGCTATCAGAGGTACTGGGCGCTCACACGACCGCAGGTATTGACAAAGGGATTTACATCTTCCAGACGGGAGCGGTTGGTGGCCTCAGCCCAGTGACGAAGTCTTTTCAGTTTGCAAAAGGACGTTTATCGAAGTTCACTTCGTTACCTTAGTCGAAGTAGTGAAAAGGACGTGTTCTTGCAAGTGTGGTGGTCTAGAGGGTAGTTAAGTCCAAAATAGGAACAGCGTGGATACCTTCAATCAGCATCCTTTGGTCCAGGGTGGTCACTTCGAGTGTCTCATCCACAGATACTCAGGAGCAGCGCGTAGTGCAGCTGCAAGATACTGCCGAAGGCCGGAAGGTCGCTTTTGGGTCCAAGGCAAGCCCAGATGCTCACAAACATAGCAGGGGCGCTACTAGGGGCTCCTGACCATACTACTAGGAGCAAGGACGCTTTTATGTTTGTTCTTTTCTTGTTTTTTTCTCCACTCAAAGGAGTACAGAAGGCGAAATTCCTTCGGATTATACGTGAGCAGTTTTGCAGCTGCCTGAACAGCCCGAGTGTCTCGAGCAATCCGGAGTTGATGACTCCTCATCCCAAAGAAACGCAGCAATCTGGGAACGCAGAAATGGGAAGTATCATGATAGTATCATGTGGTCTCATGGTTTCCTTGTGGTTTTGCAAGGAACCCAGAGAGAGAGAGAGAGAACACCCAGAGGAACCACCACACTCCTTGGCGCTGTTTTCACTTGGATGACCTACGAACGACCGTATGTTTGTTATGTGTAGCCAGATGACCACACCACGTACACCATCATCATTGTGGTGGCCGGCTCGTTGGTAGTCCCCTCAGCTTTGCTGCCGTCCGAGATCACTGCTTTTCCCCAGCGAAATGGCAGGGACTGGTGCAATGAATTTGTTGTCTTGGCCATGTTGACCACCAAACTGTGAAAATTCTTGAAACATTATTTGGTTCTTCTCAATCTTGGATGTTTCTGTTGCCTTCTAGCTGCTAGGTACAACACATTGGCTTGGTGCCTCACCTGTCAAAATAGTGAAAGACGGGTGTCTCACTGGTGGGCCGAGGTGGGGATTGTGGCCTTGGCCGCTGGCTACATGGCTGGGAAGCCAAGTTCCTTCAGTGGAGAGTGGGGCCAGGCGTGAGAAGAGGTGGATCGAGGCGGCTGAAGTGTGTTCCGCTCTTGGTGTGTTCCTTCAGGTGGAGATGGCACATAAAAGCCTCAGTCCCCATCCTTCAGTAAAGGATCAAAGCCTCAGCAACATCTGCATGTTCCTTCGCTTGCCTTTCAGTAAACTATCAAAGCAACAAAATAGCTACACCTCCCAGGTGAAGGACATGCACTTGGTGATCTCTCGTTACTCTGAAAGCTTTCTTTACTATGGAGGCCATCGCTAGTAGGTTGGAGGCCATCGCTAGGCTAGTAGGTGAGTTTGCCAGGTGGGGTCCAAGAACAAGAAATCCGTCGAAACGAAAAGGCGTCGATTGCACGACTTGGAGAGGCTTTGGAAAAGGTTCGGAAGGTGCGCAGGAGGCGCGACATGGCACGTGGGGGAGACGCTGCAAAGATGCCAACTGAAAAGTCTTTGAAGAGTTCAAACATAGTGATTCAACAGGAACAAGAAGCTACTAGGGGCTCCGGGCATCGCTACGAACGGAGCGATCCGACGCTACGAACGGGGCTGCCATACGTCCTGGCTTTCGCGGGGGCGGGGGCGGGTGTGGTGGCGGATCTCTTTTGGTTGGAAGACAAAGGATCTCTGGTGGCTGGGCCTCGCATCCGCGGAGGGATGATCACTCTGACCTCAAAACGGAAGTGGCGTGGGGTTCATGTCTGAGTGGATGCAAACAACGAAGGGGTCCTGCTGTCGCCAGCTATACCACCATATACCACCCAAAAAGTGTGAAGAGCATCACCCCATCGTGACCAATTCAATTCTTTTGGTGTAGAGGGAAGCGTTGCGCCCCTTTCCACCAGCCGACCCATCATTGAGTAAGTGGATCACAACTGAGCCGGCCAGGGCAAGGGTAGTTGCTCGCAAAGTGGAGAAAGAAGTGGAGGCCAGCATGGGGGCACTGTTTGAGAAGCTTGTGACTTTGGTTACGACAGTTTTAAAGGCGTGAGCGTTCTTCAAAAAGAAAGCAGGGATAGATTTGAGTTCCACTGACTGCTGGCTGGTCGTTGGCCATGTCGTTTTTGCAAGAGATTGCTCGGATGTGCACACTTCTCAACCTTGTTGGTGTGCCTCTGACAACTGGTGCCAAGGCTTCTTCAAGCCTGCGCCAGCCATGTTGCAAAGGCAGAAAAAAGCACAAAGTGGCAGTCCACATTCGCTTTCCAGGTAGTCTGGTGGATATGCGCACATGCGAGCTTACCTGGCGGGCCTTGAGTGAAGTTCTTCAAGGCATTGGCGGAATGGATGTGAATTTCTGAAAGAGGTTGGGAAGGAGCAGACGCTGTCCGTGGACGATTCCTCGTAGATCCTCTGGATGGTCGAAGTTCAGACAATCTGCCTTCGTGGAGCTGTATCTTCTTTTTGGAAATCCAGGTCTTCCACATTCTTCGGTTGGAGGCCGCATCAAATGCATCCAATAGCGATGGCTCCAACAGACATCATCACAACAGCGCAGCTGAGGGATTCTTAGAAATCGTCTTCCCCGCATAGACCGATCCACCGGCTCCTTCCCAGTCCCCAGACGGCATCGAAGCTGTCGACTTTGAACTGGGATCCAGGGTGGCACTAACTTCACATCGGGCCAGAGGATGAAGAGGATGAAGAGTCTATCTTGATGGAGAGAAAGAATCCTTCATGGGTTCTCCCACCCAAACATGGTCGGACTCCTGCATCGTGTGCAGTGCTTGGGCGTCACATCGTACTTGATGGAGCCTGCCTTAAGGAAGCGTTGCCAACCCTCCTTCAAGGAGGTTTGCTTGAAGGGTTGGCAGCTGTTCCTTAAAGCCGTGAAGAAGAGGAGACCGGTTGGTGGCAAGGATTGGAGGCTGTGTATCACACCGCAGAGGGGAGTTATTCACTGTGACATCACAAGGTCAGGGAGCACCTCAGCGGCAAAGCATGCAGTGACAAGTGCCACGCTAGTAGTAACAAGTGCCTTACTACTAGTAACAAGAAGCTACTAGTAACCAGAAGCTTCTAGGAACAAAGGGTGAGCCGCGACGGTGGGCTCTGAGGGACGAAGGCCCACACGATGGACGTGTCTTTGGGAAAAGGCTTGTGCTCGCGCGTCCCTGTCGACTGGCGTTTGTGTCGTTGTCAATGGCGTTCAAAACCAATTTCAACACAAGGATGTTCTTGCAGCGGAGCTCCGAAATGGCCAGGTGTTGCAATATGCTTCAGTCCATGACAACGACGTGGTCAGTGATGTCCGCTGTTGTGCAGTTTCCCTCCAAGTCCGTGGTGATGGCACTGAGCCAAAAGTCTGGCCCTTTGGTCTCGTCAGACGTAGTTCTTAATGGCCGGGAAGCCTTCAGAGACTTGTTTCTAATAGCGATGGCCTCCACCCTAGGAGCGATGGCCTCCTGTTGGTCTGAAGATGTCGTTATTAATTCTAGCTGTGTTCAGTGCTGAAAGCAGATGGCAAGGAACTTCTGTCTCATGTGGTCATTTCGTTGCGGAGTTGTGACAGTTCTTTCGTGTAGTCATCTGGACCCAGTGCAGAGTCGTCGAAGAGAACTCTTTGGACATCATGCATTTCATGTAGCAGCAAGAAGCTACTAGGAGCAAAGGGCATCGCTTCTAGTAACAAGTGCCTTACTAGTAGTAACAAGAAGCGAACGTAGAAACAATATATACAATATAGAGTTTAAATATAGAATATATATACTAGTAATAACAAGTGCCTTACTACTACAAGGCACCGTACTACTAGTAGCAAACATGGCAGCTGCACTTAGCCACTAGTAGCTTCTGGTTACTAATAGCGATGCCCTTTGTTACTAGTAGCTTCTTGTTGCTGCAAAAGTTCCTTGGTCTCATGATGTATTGTGCTATACGGGACCATCTACCATTTCGACGGTGAAGCAGCAAACATACACATGGTTGCCGTCCTGTTCCAAGTCGCCCCAAGCAATCTTGTCATTCGCCCGTCAACTGCCATGCTGGCACAGGTGGAAGAGGCTCCGCCTGAGAATTTGGAGAAACCCACCCTGCCGCACTTGGCACATGGTCGGGAAGCCTTGGCACCAATGGGTTTCAGATGTCCATCTTTTAAGAGATGAACCAAAACAGGAACGTGGCATGTGTTTGAAGTGCGCCGTGTTCTAGTGAGGATAACCTTCGTCCGACATGAGATTAGTTTCAACTCCTCAGAGGTTTGAGAACATCAATTCCATGACTCTGGGAGGATTTTGCAGGAACACAAGAGTACCATTACCACCAAACAACCACGGAGGCTTCCTGTTTGATTCTACGCACGCTCTTATCATCAGAATTTCACCCCACCCTCCCCTTTCTTCGCCTACACGTCGCCTTCGAAAATGTCACGCTTCAAGTCTTTTTTTGTTCTTTTCTTCCTTTTTTGGCTTTTCCGTTGGACCTGTCTTTTGGTCCTTTCCCTTTTCAAAACGAACAAGCAGGTCTCTTTGGTTCTTACTACTTACTGCCGTCCCGTGCTTTCCCGTGCGCACCCAGACGTGGACGACTGGGCGGTCGCAGCGCCCGCGTCCCCCACCTCGCCCTCCTCGGGGAAGTCGCCCATCAGCTCCAACGTCTCTGCGAAGAACGCCCGGGCGACCGAGGAGGGCGGAGCTGAGGGTCTGGGAGGGTGGTCGTGTGAGCAGGACAACCCAAGTCTACCCAAGAAGATGTGTTCAGGGGCTTGAGGGCTGTGGGGAGTGTGGTCAGTGTTCAGAGCTAAGTGTGCAACTTCCTCCAAGCCTCAAGATTCATGTGTCCTCCATAAAGAGCGTCCCTTTCAGATGGTCGCAAACCATTCAACAAAACCAGGGAAGCTTGGAAAACATTTTAAACCTGTCTTTGATGCCTTGCACCACAACAAGTTTTGTCAACTCTCTACAATTCTATACAAGACGTTTGAAAACGCGGCATTGCCTTAAGCAGAAGTTGTTGAAGCAACATGTCAGAGTCGAAGAGAACCACGTTGATAGCACATGTGCGATGTTTAATGAATGAATTTGTTTCTTGCTGATTGTGTTGTCGAAAGGTTTAAAGGCAGATGTCGAGTGTATAACTTTGTCAATTTACACCTTCGTTTTTGGCCTAAACCCCATCAGGTCGTTGGCAAGGTGCCAAGTGTGAAGACGCCCACCTCGCGGCCAAACGTCCAGGCTTGCCCGGTTTTTCTGGATTTCGGAAACGCAACGCCAGGCCCCAACGTTTAAAGCCTTTTGTCTGCTTAAAATAAACAAAATCCAACGGTCAGAGAAGGCCTGTTGATGAGTATCACCGCTGAAAGCAGTGGAAGTCAACTGAGATCTCTTTGCCTTTCCCTTTTGCAGCTGTGACAAGATACGTGCGTGCTCTGTTTACTGTCTGGAAAGACGACCTGGGATTGGGAAAATTGATCGAAGCTACAGGGGTCCCGATAACCATTGCTGTGGGTGCATCTCTAAGCTGGTTCACCAAGATGACAGTGGCTACATTGTCGGCTACGTTGCGGTGAAAGCAGTCACTCTCCAGTCGCCATACCAATTCAAATTCTTGACAAGAAGATGGAAGGTTTTTTTGAACAGCGATGAATTGAATGATGAAGAGACATGAATGTGAATATATTTTTGCATTGCAGCCCCTTTGGCCCAAGAGTTTACGCAAAGCCGATGTTTTCTCGAAGAGAGTCGAGAAAGCCGGGAGAAGCCGGCAAACAGGTGGCGCTCACAAAAGCACTCCTGGCCACATCGGCAAAGCACTTGTGTAACACTCGTGGTCAGAAAAGAGCGACTAGTGGATTCTGAACAGCTTTGCAGTTTCCACCGTCCTTTTGACTTTAGAACTCGTTCGTGCCACCACAGGATTTTTCCTGCCTCTGCGCGGCCTTCAACAGGACTGCTTGAGTTGCAACGGTTTCCTGTGTCTTTCCTCTTTGCCTCCCGACCCCTGATGGGGAGATACTTCTATATCTCCCTTTTGCCATTTGTCCTGCATCCTTGTTGTTTCGACAGGCGGTGTTTTCCGATCTCACCTCGAGGCTTTTTAAACCGTCATGACTGAGCCGAGACTGGGAACAGAAAAAGAGCACCGAGACGGCAAGAATGTTTTTGCAGCAGAGATCCTCTGGCACTGTGCTAAAAATGGCTTGAAGCAGACAAAAGTCATAAGCTTGCCATTGGATATGGGCGCATGAACAACTTGAAACGGTACGCTTGCTGTCGAACGCCGTGCTGACACTTTTGGGCTTGATCCTGGCGCATGATATTGAAAGCTTGTCTCTTTGGCATGCTGTGACGAACATTTGCACTTGCCTCATTGCTTGGATTTCTCAAAAGATATGAAGAGCAAAAGAAGCAATTTTGCCGTTGAACTTGCCTTATGTTTGTTCATGCCTGCAAGAAGCACACTATGATTGAAGTGGAAGCGCCGCACAAAACGTGGTCAACAAGTTGTCCGCACACTTCCTTCTCAAGTTTGTCTTGTTTTTGAGCACCCCAGTAGCGCTGCTATTGCCCAGTATCTTGACTTACAAAGATTGGCTCTGTGGCACGATTGCCCCACAGACCACATGGCATTATACCAATGGTTTTCCGAACATTTCAAGTAGACAGGCATTGCTAGTCTGTTTCGCTGCAAAGGGAAAAGGCATGGCGGCCCAGCCACGCGACTGACTGAACACACGTACAACACCATCGCGCACACGCGTGTGACAGCCAGAAGCTGAGGTACAAAGTGGCATGCGAGCCTGAAATGCGCTGCTTTGTTGTCACCAGATCTGGCCCTTCTGTGATGACGTGGGCTCTTGAATGGTTTGATATTCATACGCATGCTCCTTGCGCAAACGGTCAGCGCATCACTCTGTCCCGCGAAAAGATGCCCTTAGTTCCTCCTGTTTCCATCTCAGATACATTGATGACGTTTTCCTTGATAGCAAATCGCGGCGCAGAACATGTTTGTTGCAGTACCTATCGCGCTGTTGTTCCATCAGCTTTGAAGCAAGCCCAGCCTACATGAAAGTTTCTTGGTTGGACATGACTGTGACAGCGGCGTTGTAAAACCAAAGAAACAGAAACAAGTCATTGTTCTCCTCCTTGGGGCGCAAGGAAAAACTGTCTGCGTCCAATCTTCTCCAATTGTCTCAGAAGAGCTTGCCTTGTGTCCACACAGGACCACACAGTTCGTACGCGGATGATGTCCGTCCTTTGTGATTTTGCTGCCTGTGGGTGGTCTAACAGAAAGCTTGATAAAGTTGTCTAAGCAGTGGGCCAAAGTGAAGTGCGAGCTGGCAGCTGGAAGAATTGCCAATCTC